ATGTTTGTTGATTGCTGATTGACCTGAGTGCCAGGCTTCTAAAAATTCTCTGGTATTTTTGGAGTTTCCTCTGTCTAAGATTTCTACATTTTCCCAATCGAATGAGTGTCCGTAGTTATTTACGTGTATTGATATAAGTGAAGAGATATCATGGCGTTTGACTGCTAATTGATGTTCATGTAAGCGTAGATGGAGGTTATGAATCTTCATCGACTGAGATGGTTGGGCCACGTGTTACGTATGCCTGAACACCGATTACCACGACGTGCAATGCTATCCGGTATTGGAAATGGTTGGAAGAAAGTTAGGAGCGGCCAAACCAAAACGTGGCATCAGTGCTTGAAGTCACTAACTTCTAGTCTGAGCCATGTTGGTAGATGCAGACTACTTGGTTGGGGTCCGCGTGACTATCGTAACCAATGGTTGGAGACTCTTGGTGACATGGCTCAGAATCGATCACAATGGCTTCGGTGTATACACTCCCTGTCTTCCCTTAAACTAAGAGATTAAAATCGCTTCATATCTTTCTTTCTACGAACCAATTCTTTCTGCTTGTACTATATCTCTATATGCAATCTTTCTCTTATATATTACCACCTTTTACCTAACCACTGTTATGAATCCGGTGTTCATCTTGTTGTGCTGATGCGGTATGGCAACCTGGACCGATGCACATATGTGCCTGGTCCTACGTTGTAGCTGACTGACTGTTACGATTGGTACTATTTCCTTCTGTAGAGTTCTTGATATCTATAGTATTACACCACAACAAAAAGCTTTACTATTTCGGTTGTATTTAGAAGCTGGATTATGCCAGTATTGTGTATTATTTATTTATTTATTTATTTGAACACATAAATATTGGTACAAGAGAGCGCCAATATATATGCGCCACACTAAACAATGAAAATTCGAAGAGAGATAGAAAAAAAAAACTAAGGACCACAAAAGGTAGTGTGGTCGTAACGATGGAACAGAAAGGTACAATCAGAAGAAATCTTTCAAGTAAGGGAGACACAACCACTATTATGAAGAAAGTAAAAGAAGGTTACAGCAGGATCGCCACTGGCTTCTATTCTGAGCCATATCTGATAACGTCTCTAGCCACTGTGTAGCACCATCTCTCAGACCCCAACCAGGGAGTCGTGAAGGACCGACAGAAGCCAGTCCTTTGCAGCTTTCTTTCATACCACGACACCATGTCATGCACTGACCACCTCTCCGCTTTTTCCAACCAGTCCCAGAGTCGGCAAATAATGCACGATGTGGAATTCTCTGAGACGACATTCGTAGAACATGTCCAAGCCACCGAAGTCGGTGTTTCAAGATGGTGACACCAATTGAATTATCATCTCTGTGCCCGAACACACGATGCCGAACCTCTGCATTACTGACATGGTGTTGCCACTGAATGTCAGCAATCCTTCGGAGACAGCGATGATCGAACACAGAGAGTCGTCTGACGTCCTCAACTCGGAGAGGCCAGGTTTCACAAGCATAGAGCAAAACTGCTCTCACCGACGCGTTGTAGATCCTACCTTTTACAGCCAGACTAACATCACGAAGGCGCCAAAGATGGTCCAGATTGGCATAAGCCACTCTGGCTTTCACTATACGTGCATTGATCTCATCACTCACACCCCCACCAGCACTTATGCAGCTACCCAGATACATGAACTTCTCGACTACGTCTATCTGCTCACCATCCAGGGTGAGTACAGGATTGGAATCCTGCCAGTCTTGTAGGAGTACTTTGCACTTCGAAGGTGCAAAGCACATACCATACCTACGGACACTGATTGCCAACTGATTAAGTGCGGATTGCATGCCTTGGGCATTGTCGCACAGTAAGACAATATCGTCCGCATACTCAAGGTCGAGAAGTCTTTCTCCAGGCAACAGATCCACACCACCATTACTTACATTCATCAGAGCTGTTTCCAGAATGTCATCGATGGCAAAGTTGAAGAGGAATGGTGAGATTGGGCAACCCTGCCTAACCCCACTACTCGAATGGAACAATGGAGAGAGGTGGTTGTATGCCCTCACTCTACCTGAGGTGTTTTTATATAGGGCCTTTAGGATGTTTATAAACTTCTCAGGCACACCCTTCTTCAATAGACAATCCCAGAGAACAGTCCTATCCAACGAATCGAAGGCAGCCCTGATGTCAAGAAACACTACGATTGTTGGCCTTTGATAAGTATGGCGATGTTCTAACATTTGGCGGAGGGTGAAGATATGATCAATACAACCTCGACCAGAACGAAACCCAGCCTGCTCCTCGCGAGTCAATCTTTCTCGGGTTTTGAACAACCTACGAAGTATGACGGAAGCCAATAGCTTGGACGCAATCGGAAGTAGACTTATTTTCCGATAGTTGTTGCAGGAACGACGTGAACCCTTTTTAAAGATAGGGACAACTATCGACTCATTCCATGACGTTGGTACACTCTCTAATTCCCAAAGCTTTGTAAACAACGTCGTCAATTCCTTAGTCAAAAAGTCACCACCATCTTTAAAAAGAGCCGGAGGTAAGTCATCTGGGCCAGGTGATTTGTAACGCTTCAAGAGTTGGAGTTCCTTGCGGACTTGCTCCTCGTTTGGTGGATCAGTCGTCACCGGCCATGGAGGGCAGGACAGTCTGACCGATGTTGCCGGAGCAGCAGGCCAGTTGAACTGCCCTTCGAAAAATTCTGCCCATCGTCCAAGACGTCGATGGATGTTAGTGATTGGCATCCCATCCTCCTCGCAGATTGTTTCACTCACACCAGACTTCTTGCTGCCAGTGGCTCGGATGAGCTGGAAGAGCTTCCGGTAGTTACCAGATGCAGCTGCTGCTTCCAGCTCATTAGCACGCTCCGACCACCAGGCTTCTCGGTCCTTACGCAAGCTTTGCCCAATTTCCCTACGTAACATCCTTCGTTTATGGTCAAACTCACGGTCACCCGGAGTGGACCGACGGGCTTCAATGAGTTGTAAGGAACCAGAAGAAACCCAGTGCTTAAAAGCGGGACGTTTCGCAAACCCACAACTGACTGTTCCCGCCATTTTCATGGCGTCAAGCAATTGCAGTCAATGCTCATCTATACTTTTCGGTGGGGTGGTAGCTAGCCTAGAGGCTAGCTCGGTTCGATACTTACTTGCAACAGAAGTTGCAACCAACTTGCTGACATCAATCCTTTGATGGTGGTCACTTTGTTGTCCACTGAAAAGTAAGGCAAGATTGGCGCAGACCAAGGCATGGTCGGAGTTCAGATAGGTACTCCAAAAGGAGCGGCAGTCTTTTACACAACCACGCCAGCGGTAGCTGATCGCGATGTGATCAATCTGAGTCCAGGCTTGGGATGCAGAGGGAGGACGCCAGGTGGCACATCGGCGATGACTGTACCGAAAGTTAGAGCTAGCCAGAAACAGGTTGTGGTCTGTGCAAAGTTGCAGTAGACGGTCCCCGTTATCTGACCTGCGACCAACGAGTCCCCATCGGCCACCTAAACGACTCTCTTCTGTGCCTAGACGCCCGACCTGAGCATTCAAGTCTCCGGCTAGTACTACAATATCTGTCGAGCGCACTTTCTGGGGAAGAACAGATAACTGGTGGTAAAACTCATCCTTGATTGCATCCGGGCTGCAATCTGTCGGGGCCCAGTATTGTGTAGTAACGTTTAACATTATTTTCACATATTTGTCTTTTTATTTTAATGATTTCGTTTCATTACTTTGGTGTGTAAAATATGATAATTTTGAACGAATAAATGAATGATTATATTCCTAAATTTCGTTCCAGATCTTATGAGCATCGTGTCTGTATTTTTGACTGTAATTATAATTCTTATGTGGAAAAGTAATTGTATTAAATAGTTAATAAAGATGTCAGTAGCTTCGTACAAATTATGTTTTATCGTCAATTCCAGGTTTACAAATCAAAAACAAACACGACTTAGATTATTCAAGGCAAAAATAATGAGGCTTCAAATGAATGGATATAACTTTTAATAATAATAATAGTGATAGTAATAGTAAAGATTTCGAATACTGAATGCCTAGACGTTTTTGAGTGCCGTTGTCTCTTACAATAAAATGTGTCTAAAGTGATTGCTAACTTAATAATTCGAGTTCAGAACATTCATTTGTCTGTAGGTATCAGTACCAAGATTGGACTTGATAGTTTTAAATAAGTTGAGCATTGGGTAAAAAGAAGTTAATGAATGTATTTTTTGTTACGTCTCAATGAGTAGAAAAACTATATTTCTGACGTCATGTGACTTAATATAAGCCACTTCTGCTCAGCTGTTTGGTTGAGAGAGTCTATATTAAACTATTCAGAATATGAATAGTTGTAAAACAGGATTAAATACCAATTTAAGCAATCAGCCTTTCTTAGATTAAAAAGTTTCATTGACCATCATTGTTGACTTCCTTATGGTTCTTAGGTAAAATATTTTAAGAACTTCGTTTTCGTATTGCATGACAGTGTAAAACTCTAAAACGTTTTACTAGTATACCGTAGACTCAATGGACGAGTTATTTTTATAGTAAAATATGCATACATAGATAAAGATTGGGATGGAGTTTTCAAATTTTCACTGTAAATTTATTAACCTGTAAATTGAAAAATTGTTTAGGATAAATTAATGACTCATCATTGAAATCGGAAATGAATCTTGACAAGTTTTCAAGCTGACTGAAATTTAAAATATAGCTGAATTTTTCCTGCTTTAAAGATATTGTATTCACTACAAAACTTGTTAGTTGTGAGTTAATTCCTGTTTTGGTTACGCGATGCGCATAGATTCTGGAAACCAGGACAGTGTTGTTATTCGGTGTCTTTCTATTTTAAGTGGTTTTCCTCAACTGATGCAAGTTCTTAAGGGAATCTGGCTTCAAACTATACAAAGTCTTTTTTTTTACAAAGCTAATTAATTTGTTTATAATTTTCGATGCAGTCAGTTTTGTTTTTACAAATAACTTCGACTTCATTGCTCTAATTTTGATTGCAGATAATATGTCGGTTAAAACAAGTTACAACTTCTCAAAATAATTACAGATCATCTATCATTCCAATCATTTTTAAGCTATTTAACAGAATTTCAACATTCCATGACATTAAATAACAAGTAATAGCTGGTTTATACAGAAAAATTGCGCAAAAGTGATACGTTTACTGTGCCATTTGTGCAGTAATTGTAGTGGGCACACAATGAGGCGATCGAGAACCGATCAAAAATCAGGATCATGGAGTCACATGGAGATTGATTTAACAAATAAAAGTAAGTAGTATGTTACTGTACTTTTTTTCAAGACTACAATTTTATCAAAACGTTTTATTTCTACAAAATTTAATCTATATTTACATCTTGCCTTCATTTGATTGTAATCCAGATTTGTTTCCAGTGAATTTCTTCTAACTGAGATGTATTTACAAAACAAAAATCAAATTCAAAGATATCTATATTGGATAAGCAAACTTTCATGAAATCGTTTCATTTTCCTGTTTGTAACTTCATTTAAGAGACAACAATTCATACTTATGGTTGCCTATAATTTGTATGATCAGGTGATGTACAACAGATATAGCTAGTAGTCACGTGTATAAATCTGTACTTAATTTATAAATTGCTTTTTTAAATAGTCGTGACGAAATTTTTATATTGTTACTTACCTTATTAATAATTTACTATCCAGAATAAACCATTTACGTTTTGTGGTGGTTGTTAATGATAATTCATTTATAATCCGTCCTTGTTTTATTGTTCTGAAGTCTACAGTTCATAATCAGTATAAAAATGTTAAATACTTCAAATCATTTTGAGAGATGTATTTACTACACAAAAAACAACTATCACATGATAGTCAGAAAAATGTGTAGTTTACATCACTGACTGATTTAATTAGGTAATCAGTGAATACTAGAAAGTACTGGACTGCTATTTTTGTTCTGTGAGACTTCTCAGAAGTGTGTAACCACAACCTCACCGAGGATAGATACAGGATTTTTAGGTCTCAGGACCTTTGAACTTCTGACGTTCCATCCATTAGTACTGTGATCAATGAAGTTCAACCATGTCGGGTGTGTAGCAATTATCCACTGAAGGCAGTGCTACCTGAATGAGTAATATCGTAAATAGGTAGAAGTTATACAAGTACACAATTGGATTGAAGTCTAAATGTTAAACACTTACCACGAAGTTTAAAGGTGCTGGATTCGATTCCAAGTGGGGTCATAAGTGAGAATTGTTCAAGAGTCCCATGCCAAAATGAAATAGCTGTTCAGTACTTTCCGGTTAGTCAATACTATGATTATTTGGGTGTTGTAGTTATTTTTTCTGTTTTCACAATTTGTGTAATTCACTTTATCGTATTTTATGGTTTTCATGTTAGATACCTAAAAATACATAAAATATGTAGAAATTGATAAGTGTATGTATAATCTTAGGTCAAAACATGTATATTTTAGAAGAAAAATTGTTTGCATGAAATAGTCTTGCTACTGTTTTTTTGTTGAACCAACACAGTTATATGGAAACATTGTATAATTAAATGATAATAATTTTCACAAAGAACTGATATTGTGCACTTACAATCTCAGACAACATTAATTCTAGGACGTTCTAATCTCACAGACTGAGTTTGATATGATAATATTATTGAGTTGATGTCAGTTTATTGTGGTCAGAATAACTTCTTATTAATTGATTTTGCTTAAATCTATTAAGTTCTTTCTTAGTGTTAGTACAATGTAGGTAGGGAGAGATTAAAAAGGAAATGCTTTTAAAATGTACAATGGGATTTGAAATGCTCTACTTACCAACTTCTAAGTTTAGTATAAAAAAATACAGTTGAAATGGTACAAGCGGTGTAAAAGGATGACAAAACTAAACTTAGAATAAAATAAAATAAAGCACGATGGACGTTATTGCTATTAACTCTTCAAGGTGGCTAATGCGTAGCATAAATGGTAGGAGAGAGAAAAAAGAAAGAATATCGTATATATATAACAAGATATCTTGTTGTTTACTATGGTAGTTGGTTGATAGCTAGTATGGTATGAGTTAAAGTACAGAATTCTGTGTAAAATTTCGCGATCGTTATTCGTTTAACTAATACACTTTGTGAATGATATCATGTCAGACATATCAAAATGTCAGAATGTAATATTAATTGTTTAACTGAAAATGTTAGTATTTTTTGTGTCTGATTAATCGGATAATTATCTAACTTGTTCCTTTAAAATTAGAACTAATTAACTGAATTAGAAGCAAAACTCATGTAATAGGCCTTTAGAATAAATCCACGCTGAATTACCTACAGACTAGCTGTAATTCTATTTATTAAAAACACTGATAGGCATAAAAAAGGTTTTTGTTACATTACATTTACCAAAAAAAAATAAATATGTTACATAATACGAAAAAATGTGATATATAGATGCTTGAAGTCTAAATACAAATGTATTTGAGAAAAGAAGAAATAAAATGATGTAAACTATAAAAGATAAAAAAGACCCTGTTTATTAACATCTTTTCCCCGGTTCTTGAAAACAATCAAGGATACTTGTAAATTTCTTGGCGTATGAAAACTAGTATTATTAAATGAAGTATTTATTAGTTGAGTTTGAAAATTATTGACAAGATAATACAGAATATGATAAAAGATCTAGTCTTGCCTACCACATAAGGAATACTTACTAAATATAGTAAAGTAAAATTAATTCTTAACTTGAAAATTAATGTAGAAATATCATTTTAATGTATTATGTATTTCCTTGGTTACCTTGATTGTAAAGTTTTCATAGTTCTTATAAACAATACCATTAACATCTACTTCAAGTAGGCAATATAGGTGTATTTCTATTTTTGGAAATTAGTTGATTAACCCTTATTGTTATGCTAACTATGAATTTCAATAACTGAGTGTACACCTTGAGTAGTTGTTGTATTTTGTTAATCTAATCAATATTTTTCATTGAAATCATAAAGTGATCAATGTTGGACCATTACTGAGAATCTTTGATGTCCTCCTTTAAGTTTTAACTTCTATTATAAATAAAAATACCATATTCGTAATATCTCAATGAGTAGGAAACTTAAATTTTCTGACATTTAGTGACTCAGTGTAAGCCAGTTCTTCAGAGAATAAATAACCAAATTAAATTAATCCAAGTTTAAATAGTACAAAGGAACATAGCAAGAATATTAGTTACGATCAATCAAAAACAGGTTTGACCACGTCAATTTTTATTGATAACAATCCACCGAATGCTCAATTTATTTAAAATTATCAAACCAAACCTTGGTAATAATATCTATCAACTTCTAATGGTGAACATATACTAAAATCTAAGATGATTTGCAAAATTCATCTGTCTTCTTTTTTTAATAAAAAAATTTGAAGTTGGCTTGTCAAATATATCCACAGAGGAATGATTGAAAGTAACATTATTTACTTGAAGTATATTTTTTTGTAACTAATTACAACATACATCTAATATAGAATGATTTTTATTGTTGATAAGAGTTTCGTACAAGGTTATTGAATTAACATATTCACGACTTACTGAAAAAATATTATTTATGCTATAATGATATTGTTTGTATAACATATAGTGGTGAGACTATAATTTATGGGTGACCTTTGAGCGACGCCGAGGTGACCTTGGGAATGTCCACCTACTTATTAGGATTAAATGGGGTTTATGAAGTAGTGTGAGGAATAAAGAATATGATTTACAATTGATGGTTAGGGTTATGAATTTCATTTATGGTTTTCATCACGAACTGACATCAGCTATACTGTCAAAACTCTATTTAGCCAAATGAATGATTGAGTCTCGTGCCAAAATTCGATACCTCTAATCCTAAATCTGATTGGCTCGTCCATAATTTATAGTCGCGCTCATATGGTTATCGATATTCATATTTATACTTAGAATTCTTTAGTAATGAATGAATAGTTCAACTTACAATTATTTCACTTAGAATTTATGCACATATATTGTTCTGTTTGTGATTTATTTCAATAGAAATAATAACCGTGTTAGAACAATATATTAAGCTATAAAATAATTTTTCTCTTCTTTCTAGGTCATTCATTATAAGTAGTGGCGCTTGAGGTCGTATACTAATAGCGTTTCATTCATATATATATATATATATATATATATATATATATATATATATATATATATATATATATATATATATATAAGTAGACATTTGTGCATGTTTGGATATTACGTGTTATACAAGAGTTTTAGGAATTAGTTGCATACTTTTGCCCTACTGATTTATTGCAATTTCCTGCTTATTTGTATGCTTAAATGCCTAACCAAGCGTTGAGCACTTGTAGTAAAAAACACTACTCTCTCTCCCTTTATATATATATATATATATATATATATATATATATATATATATATATATATATATATATATATATAATTATTTGTTGTCTTTCTATGAGTTCATGCGTTTCTATTGGTTATGTCCTCTTGTTTATTTATCATATATTTTGGACAATCATATGAAAATGAATTGTGTTTATCGTTTTCTAGTTTGTTTATTTTCTAATTTTTATACATTCATCTATTTTTAGCTTTAAGTAATCATGTATTTTCCGATAAATTTAGTTATGTCTTTACATATTGTCCTCTAAATAATGTCAGTTTTATACGAAATAAATTCTATTCAAAAATTCATCTAAATTTTTATCAAATAAAGATTAATGACCGTATATTTAGAAGTGAATTTTCTGTAATTCTAATACGAAACCTTATTCTATTAAAACAAATGAGCGGAAGATGACCTAATTATTCATCAATCAAGAAAAGTAACTCTATATATTACATATTAATCACGTTTGATAATGATACCTATTCGATTCAAACTTAGCATCATATTCATTTAGAGATCTGAAAGTGTCCAGTTCTATTTCATATAAAATTATGGGTTCACCTAACATCACTTCATCATGATATAAATTTCTAATTACTATTAATTAAACGATCATATTTTTCTGCTAAAACATTTTGTTTTTACGTTTGTATTTCCACTTAAAAGTTATTTTAGTTCATTTTTATAAAAAAGAATTAGTTGTTCAATAATTTTGAATTATTTTGTACCATACTATATACTTTTTTAAAAGTCTGTTTGATTTTAGTCCATTGCATATAAAGAAATTATAATATAATATGGATTTTTCTTCTTTTATATTAACATATATCATTCACATGATCCAACTCAACAACTCTAATTACGTTGAAACATTTGAA